ATATATACATTGTATGTACTTGCCAGATATAACCGATTACACAAAACCGATAACAAACAGGAAAAAACTGATCATACTGAAATGATTTCAGTTTAATATAGCTTTAAACGGAAATTATGTTGATTTTTTATTGTAGATGCAAAATTTCTATCAAAATAGGTTTCCAACTTTAAATTTCCTTCATAAGAATGCTGATGTCAAATTAGAATAAAATAAAACTTATTCTTTATCTAAAAGTTGCACTGGAAAAATTCCATATACGACACCGTCACAGGTCGCTGCAACATGTTTGCAATGGTTATATATTGATATACATCACAATAAAATGGTTAAAAGGGGGCTGATAAATATAAAATTGGTAGTGTGAATTAAAAATAATACAGAGAAACAAAGAGCATTAAAAATGTTTATGATAATAAACAAAACAAATGAAATAGGTCCAAGAACGACTCGAACCGACATTAAGCGGCAAAAGTATTGTCGCTTGGCTAAATTCGACAGGATATACAATTAGCAGCAAACCGACACAGATCTGCTGCTTGGCTATATTCAACTTTCAAACCAGCTGAAAGAAATATTTATATACATTGTTCACTTACATGTATAGTCAAAATCGCAAGGATATCCCAGTCTTGAAAATTACGTTCAATCACCGGAATGGACAGATTAATATTTGTGTTTATTTAATGATTATGCATATCATTCTTTAAGTAAATTAAAATAATTTAATTTCTTCGATTCTTTATTTTAAAGAAATGTCCATTATTAAGCATAAATATACGGGGAAAAAAATCGATCTCGGCAGGATTCGAACCTGCAATCTCATGATCCATAGTCAGGCGCCTTATCCATTGGGACACGAGACCGCGTGTCTCCACTTATTTTGTATCAAGAAATTTTAATTTGTTTCTGTTCGAAATGGATGTTTATTTATTTAATCATATCCAAATTGATGAAAAATTGTCTAAATACATATGTATATCAGAGGGGTATGTTATCATCAAGATAAAAAATAAGTTTGAGCTTATATATAATTAAAGTATTCTTTATATGGAAATGTTGTAATAAATAATACATGTATTTTATTTTCATTTTATATCAAACGCGGTATTTAACAATAGCTATGCATGCCTCTTTTAATGTTAATGCGATAAATATACCAGTATTGAATAATTAATTGTATTTTTTTAAAAAGTGTGCTCTTGTATAAGGCTATTTTATAAATATATTTTTGTTATTTTATGTAACCTATGATTAGTCTTTTACATGTTTAAATCGTGTTTCTCTGTTTTTAATTTCTAAAATATATGTGTGCAACTGTGAAACAAAATTCTATCCGCTAATGCAAAAAATGATAGTTCAAAAATTTCTCTGCAGAATAATGCCATATGTTTAGCTTACTCGATTTTGAGTTATTTGCTCAACGACTTACTGTTTCAGAAATTTCAACACTTTTGATTTATTCCTGATGAAAAATGAAAATTTAATTATAAAGATATTTTAATACCAATATTCGATCTCGAACCTGCAATCTCCTGACCTTTAGTGAAGGGCCTTATCCATTGGGCCACCAGGCCTTAGTTCACCTAAAGTTAACCATATATCTTTTACTTTAAAGGGGCTACACTGAGGTCTGACGGGTAATTTGGTGTCCAAAAAAAATGTATACAAATTTCCCCACAAATCACAATATTATGACTAAAATAACAATAACTTACACTTTAACCAACCCTCTAACAACAATTATGCTAGAAAATGCATATTCACATTAGCTTTTGATGCAAAAATGAAAGTTGGTTTTCCCAGACATGTACAGAAGTTACCCACAATTCATCGGGTATAACTAAAATACGCAACGGACATTTTTGGAACAACAGAGTAAACGGGGGTAAAAAAGTCTATTGATTTTTTCTCAACTCTCTAACCTATCATGTTTATATAACTTGAGTATAACGAAGAAAAACTGTATAAAAGATAATCAAGGTAGCAATTTCGTAGTCTTGAAAAATCAAACGCCAGCGAAGCGGTCATTTTCTAGACAAAACGGAAAGATATTATATACATGTACAATTATTTTCATTGACATTTCAGTTTCAATTTCAATATTCTAAGGCAAACATAATGCATCGGTGATATTTATACTAAAACGAGCACAGTGTAATCACACTAATAAAAGTATTTAACGCTATCTATAACGTATTTAAATCAAATACAGTTAATGACATGTCTCATTTGATTTGATTGTTTGTATTTGGGATGGAGTGGGGGTTACGTCACACAAAACTGTGTAGGTCATTTTTGCGAATCTTCAGTTTTACTGGTGGAGAAAGAACTCAGGTGCCCCCTTTGCAAAATTGTTTCTGGCACAAACGGGCATCTGTGTATGTAATGAGTGACGTTTCGTAGGCTATCTTGATAGGATCGTACATACACGTTCCACACACAATTACATCATATTCATACCATAGGCAAAATTAAATGCACGTTTCCTATTGTAACAATATGAAACCCCAGAAAAAAACCTATGAACTAGCTTCTGAATGTGGCATTTCTATCGTTATTCCATAAAAGCACACCCCCCCCCCCCAAAAAAAAAAGAATGAATACATCAATGGGCATGCTCTGGAGTGTTGGTATTTATTACCTGCACTCCAGTTACGCACTGTGCATGTATATGAATTCGATTTAACTCTGACACGTTTTCACACAAAAAGTCTTCAAACTATGATACAATAAATGTTTATGATTCTATTAGAAACTTGTTTAGAATTTAATGATTTTTTGGTGAAAACGATATAGTTTACTTGTACTACAGATAAGATCAAAGTGCTGAAGGCACTGAAGAAAAAACGGATAAACTATCACATTTTCACTCCAGTTTCACAGGTAAATTAATTTTATATGTCGCGGTTTACATCTAAATATCAGCTAACCTTTGCTTTTTGAGACTTTTGTTTTTGAAAATAATCTAAACGAGTAAAATAAATCCTCTTTTATAGGCAAATAATTTAATAAGTAGCATCCCCGATTTCTCTTTCATAAATTGGCTTTAGCAAATTCTTTTCTATTCAAATATTAAGAACATTCTGTCAGTGACGTGTCCTCTACTTGAAATCTTCCTGGTGTGTTTTTTTCGGTAACAGGAAGAAAATGACAGTCTGTTCGTATCATTCGGTAACAGGAAGAAAATGACAGTCTGTTCATTTGATCTTGACTGTGAAAAATCATGTTTTGTGAACCAATTTATCCTGCCGATAAAGATTTTGCAAGCAATCTGGTGGTTTATGTTCTAGTGCTTACACTTAATTTTTAATTCCAAAGAACATTTCTTAGGAGACCTTTAACGTTTGATTACGGTATAATCACTATAATCGAAATACTTAGGAATTAATTTTAATTCCTGTTACTGTGAAATTTTTCGTTCACGTGTTTAAAATACTTAAGTAGCTCTAAAATTTTCAAAACGATATCCAGTATTTCCGAAACAATTTACAAAGGCTTTTAATACACAATCTTATGAATCTTAAAGTATTACGAGAACCACCCATTTAATCTCCAGAAATACATACGAAAAACAAGATAAATCAAAAGGCTGCAAGCTCTGTGGTATTTTCTGATCTTTGCAATATAAATCGCACTGTACAACTGTATTATTTTCCTGTATAAGTTTATTTTTATGTACTATAATTCTTCTTGCTTGGTACCAGAGTTTGAAACATTTTGCATGACTAGAGTTGCATCAAAAATCATTTATGTTCATTTTTATGACAGCCACACTTTATCCTTGCATATCGTGGCTATTTCCTTAACAAAGAAACTTTATAAAAATAATTGCCTTGAATTGGATTTGAACCCCAGACACACTAAACGAGCGCGTTACCCTTGCACCACGGAGAAGATATACGAACAATGCCTGAATAAAATCAAGTAATACTAAATTTAGATTTTTCACTGCATTTCGGGTTAATTTCGAGGTTTTTTGTTCAAGATAAACCTGTTCTTTAACATTGATGTAAATAATTTAACAAAAATATTCTCGCCAAAACAGTCCGACATGTATATATTCCACTACTCGACAGTCAGATTTATTTGTGAAATAAGCTCTCGACATCGCTTAAAATAGCATTTTCATTGATTAAAATGATATTCATCCGCGTAATTTGTGAATGAGCATTCATTGACAATTCTATAAGCCAAAGCTACTTTTTAACTTTGAATGCGTTGTAATTTGTTGGATACTTATAACAAAATGAAAATATTTCTTTCTTTTAAATCGGTAGTTTTCAGGTGTTTTAAGAACTGTTTGTTGTTAGATTTGTCGTGAAACCGCTGTGTCAGAGATTGAATGTTAGCTTTGTATTTCCTAATCTTCGATCAGAAATACAAAAAAGAATGGTAACATTCAATGAATACAACACCCACACGACCAAGCAAAACAGGACCACAGCTAAATTATCAATGAAAACATTAATTTCAGGCTTTCAAGTGGTAAATAAAAAGAATAAACAACAAAAATGAAAAACAGGAAGAAAGAAGCGACAAAAGTAGAGAAAAGTAAAGGTTTTCGTGCTATAAAGAAAGAAAAGCAGCGTTCTCTCCCTAACTTATTTATGCAATGAAATGCATCCGATCAATATTTAGCCATTGTAGTTTTTGAAACCAGTCACTCGTGTTTTCAAAATAGTCGGGAAATGAACCCGACTTTTTTTATCAAAACATTTACAAAACTATTAACAATGAGTATGCCATGATAAACAGGGCTATAAGGAGTAAAAACAATGGTTTATATATGCATTGCCCTTTACCGTCTAGGAGTTGGAAGTATTATAAAACATAGTTTAAGCAATGGTTGTTGATGAGGTGAGGTTAATAATATCTTACTGAATTCTTAAAGTTACTTTTACTTACCTGCCCTTCACATGTGTCTTGCTGTATCATGATTTTTTTTTGTTTCGTTTAATTTGAAAGAAAGTTAGGGTTTAAAAAACAACAACTATATAATCAGTTTTAAGTTTATTTCACTAGTCACGGCAATAACCCTGCTGTGGAAGCTTGACTATGTCGGGGGCTGCGTCATGTGAACGTTGCCGTCGCCTTGATTGTCTTTATTCCAGTTTTCCTTTTTTACTCTTATAACGCTCTCAATTTCTTTTCCACCGGGAAGCTTTCAATATATTGGTAACATTAAAGCACAGCTCAATTGACCCATCACTAGTACGGAGGCCTTCCAATAAGAAAAAATTTATCAGGATATCTGCTAAATCAATAATGATAATAATAATATTAATAGAGCCAGATTGTAACTCTTTTCCGACCTTCTTGATAATGTTTACCATGTGCATGAAACAGGTATCAATTACCTATAGTTTTGAATGTCTAGATCAAAACATAGTAATCTTTTCATCAACAAAGTTTACATCCAATGCGGATAAATATGCAAGTATGTATGTAAAATGATAAATATAAAATTTCAGATCTATCTAGCAAAGGAGATCGATTTTTTCTTAAAGAATTTTAATTATGTGCACTAGACATACATTAGAAATATTATCTAATAAAGTTGAAGCCTAAATGTCCTATAATGAGGCCGGATTCATTCTCTATTTAGCCAGTGCTTTCAGTGCTTTGATCAGAGTTAAAGAGAAAATTCTGGAATAACATTCTGTGTGTGCATGTGATTTTTTATGCTTACAATACTCAAATTCATGTTCGTTGTATAAAAGGTATTACGAAGTTTTTTTTCCTGAACGGGTGTCAGATAAACCAAAGTGACCTTTGAAATAGGACCCATTACACTGATTGACAAAGTAAATTTTCTTAGCCTAGATATCATGATATTTTAACCATTACAAAGTTAATACATAATATTTAATATTTACACGAAAGCTCTCAAATTAACATAGAATATTTGTAAAATTTGTGTATGTCAGTTTCGAACTCCGTACGTTTAGCTAAATTCATCATTGTAATGGAGAAAAAAACATGATTACAACAATGTAATGCTTTAAATATATTGAAATTGCTTTTGAAAGATTTTTCTCACAAGAACATATGTGAACAACAAGAAATTTAACAAACAAACCCATTATTTGCTTTTAAATTTATGGATTGTTGGTATATTCCGGTTTCGCACTTTCGTTGCTGCCGATACACAAAAAATTCTCCGTTTCGCTTTTTAGTCATCCCGAGAATCATCACGTGACCGTTGTTTTTATTCAGATTTGCAAACTGAAAGGTGTTTAAACGCTTTTCCCACAAAATTGGAGAAAATATGTATTTCAAACGACTTGCCAATCCAAAGAACACATATCAATGTATCACTGATTCTGTTTGAATGTCCCTAACTCGCAGGTAACAAAAAAATATCGGTTCGTGAAATTTTACTTTTTTTGTGACATTCGGCCGTACCTCAGTGGAGTACCTTTAAAAATTAATTGTGTAACATATCTTTAAATAGAAAATCATTTTGTTTGTAAGTTGACAAGTCCGTATGACTTTACATCATGAAAGTTGTAAGCAATCGAAAATCTAATAAATTATGATAATATTAACCGGCTTTTAGTTAAATACTTGTTTGATACTTGAATATTCAGGAGGAGAATGGAAAAGATAAATTTACTTCGTCTATTGTTATACTTAGGTTAATAACTAGATATATAATATTTTTACCTTTGTCTAAACTGCTGAAATGAACCAGAGATGTTGATGTGGGTTATGTCTCTGAATCTATATGCACAAACTACAGCTCCATCTAATTATTTTGAATCTAATACAAACGATATGAGTATATTATTTGACTAGGTGTAACGAATTGGTCTCGTGGCCCAATGGATAAGGCGCCTGACTACGGATCAGGAGATTGCAGGTTCGAGTCCTGCCGAGATCAAATATTTTATATTCTGACAGTTCGAATGGAAGTATCCTATTTATTTAATTTACCTGCTATATCAGTCATATCAATGTACTGTATATACTATTTGTATGCGAATTAAATATGAAAGTGGGTAGAGTGAAAAATCATAAATATATTTTGGGACTACATGTACTTTCTCTGATGTTTCCTTCAGCTAGTCATTTTATTATCAGAATTTATCTGGTTATATGTTATTGGTTTTTTTTTTGGTTGTTTTTTTTTAATTCTTAAATGTAATATTAAATAAAAATTTAAATTTATTTTTTCGTGGAATATGGAATGTACTTTCAGGAAACATGATACAATTTCGTATATTTTCACGGGTCGGACCGGCTCAAACGAAAAATGTCAACTTAAATTTTTTAGCATTTATTTTATTTGTGCAGTTTTGTTGCACATCAGGATCAAGTATATACGTAAGTATCTATATCCATTGCTAGCCATATACTAATTAGTAAATGTATATATACCTGTGCCTGTGCCAATAGATATAAACAAATGATTGATATTATTTTACATTTATATGATATCACTGAGCATCAGTACCAAGTTCTAGGATAATGAAATAATTAAACAAAACCCCATAAAATTCTTTTTCAGAGCAAAGCAGAAATCTTATTTTAAATTTATTCATTATAGATCGTCATGAAAATAATACACATAGCGTGTCGCATATGTTTGCACCTAACATGTGGCGGGTGGGATTATGTTTCGCAACATGGCTCCAATACACAGTGTCATTTAATAAGTGAAATTTTAACATATCGTGAAATATCTCCTGTAACAGACCGTGGAATGCCTTGCCTAGAACCTTGTGTATTTGACTCCTGTATTGATCTTGATATTTTCAGAAACAGACACTGATTTCTTTTTTATATGTACACATAATTATCCTGATGAAATACGTGAAACGGGAAACGGACAAAAGCCCTTCCGGACAAAAGCCCTCCCGTCCAAAAATGACAAGGCGGACAAAAGCCCTCCCGTGAAAATTACAAGGCGGACAAAAGCGCTCCCGTGAAATTGACAGGGCGGACAAAAGGCCTCCCGTGAAAATGAGAACAGAACAGAACATGTAAATCACAGTGAACACTCGTTCAACATTCCTTCAAAATCATTACCGTATAAAATAAAACTGTGATCATAGCGTCAGGGGAGGTAACTAAAGTCACATTTTGAGACTAAAACCGCTGGCTGTCATTTTTTTTACAATTTATTTACTTTAAATTTGTACATATAATGAAAAAAAAATGTAAGGACTTTGAAATTCATTATTGTATGTCACCGATTCGTTTTTAAACCGTTTTTCGTTGTGTTTATTACATTTTTTTTTCGTTTTTTTTAATGCTACATATACATACAGTTCTCCGCACATCTGTCTTTCACCACATTTGCCCCATCCCAAGAATCACAATCTGTTGATTAATTTGAATATACACGTTGACACCTACAATATGTTTATTTACACGTGTAAGTGACACGAGAGAATTAACGCCACATTGACCACAACACCACAGTAAACTATTTTTCACATCAGGACTCGTGTCTAATAATAATCACCACACATTAAATATATTCATTGGAAATATTCAATCACTGACTTTCAATTTTTTTTCAAATAATTCACGAATGTTTCAATTATTCATCACGGCTTTGTATTTAAAAAGTATTGAGGGTGTTTCCAGTAAACGACGGAAATGCTAAAAATAAATATGTACACAGCAGACTAATTTTCTATTATTAAAATGTCTAATCGTACTTAAAATAAGTGAATACTTCCGTATTTCACTAGGAAAAATAACTTGCAACATTATTTCATGAATGCTTTAGAATAGATCTTAATTTTATAATTTAGAATAAATCGAAATGTCTTTATTGTAGGCTGTAAAACATAACATCAACATCAGAACAAGCAAATATTTCTACACTATGATATGTGCAGTTATTTTTCATATTTAATTCATATGCCTGTCAACGGGATGGATGCCTGTATTCACTTTACGGAAGCAGCATTCCCTATTTACAGCTCAAGTTTATTTGATACATTTTCAAAAAGAAATTAGAAAAATGCCAGTTTTCTTTTAATGACACTATGTATTCAAATGGTTTTACCTTTTAACCGTAACATAGCTTCTCTCTGTGTATTCAAAAAAAAATGTTTATTTTACATTTAAAATGATGGTGTATAACAATTAGTTATACATTCATCGCGTCTTTACCCACATATGTGTATCCGAGTGCGCGTTGTTATATTTTTTTCTGTTATACAATATCATAGAAGAGTGGAATCATTTTTTCCTAGGAACAATGATAACTACGAATTACTCCAATCTATTACGAAATATAATACAAGCATTGACCAGGAAGGCACGTGCTGTTAATTGATGCATATTGGCCGCGCATTCTTACAACATACGAGATCAATTAAACACCCACGGAGATCTAATTGAATAACTTATGGTCCATTTGGTCGAAAAGTCAAGGAAGAAAGAATATATACATATATTATTATCTAACAAGAAACACTTTGTAGACATATACAATGTTTCAGAATTAATTTTTTATGCATTTCTTTTATCATTCAAAAGATTCATGGATTTTTTTTAATCACATTGTATTGTCTCCACAGATTTAGCGCAAAGTATGTTACAACAAAATGGTAACTTATAAACAACCTATGATGAACTTCAACTACATTTAAATCTGTGGCATGAGAACCATACTGTTCCTATTATAATGTTTGCAGACATAACATTCTCTACAAAGCACGCGCGGACGTTTCAAACGGATATTTGAAACAATTAACGACATAGAGAAAATCAGAAATACTACCATTTTATTTGTGACTCTAAGATAATTATGAATTTTATCAGAGACTGTATTTTAATGTCTCCGATTTTCTGAAGAATAAAAAGTATTCCATTAATAGTAACCAAATAGCAATACAATAGGGTGAAATATATAATTCAAAAACTTTTGTAGAATGTTTTTATTAAAGATAAAATGTAAATCGCCATTCTTAAACATAGCATGTTAAAGGGAACAAAATATTACAAAATTTTGACTGTATTCGATGAATCAATTAATTGACATTTGTAATCATGATATTTTGCGGGGAAAAAACAACTTAATCTTCTGATGAAAAATAAGTTCATCTGCATTTCTTAAAAACATCCAATAATAAATCCGAAGACTACCTTTTTTTCATCAACACTTCGGACAACTCAAACAGATGGACAAAAGAAATAATGCGATCTTACCACGATAAAATGTAAATTCAATTATCAGTCACACGATCTGTGATATAACATCTTTCCTACCAGACAATGCTGATAAGCCATCAGTCCTAAAGTGGAAATCCATAAAATCATCTAAGACATGTTCTGATTGGTCCTACAAATCCGATTGTCCAATCAAATAATGCGTAAGAAAATATCATTTGTCTGTAGCCAAGTGTTAGTACAAATAAAAAGGCACTGAAAACCTTGCAAGCATAGGAACTTGCTCTTTCAGAAGGTACGTACTTACTTCTTGGTTTAACCTATTTTTTCCTCATACTTATATCTTATGTATTTTGTATTTTAGCTGATGGTTACTCTTATATATATTAACTGTTAATATTAACTATGAACTCATTTTAAGTTTTTTTTACGTGACGTTCGCTAAGTGCTTTTATAGATAGATACTTAATTTTCCTACTATTTTATACTTCTTCATCGCTTTTAATGTTGGTACCCCTATCGATATATATGAAGAAAAACGTACATTGTTTTATATTTATACTAAGCAACAGGTTTATTTGTTTATATAATTTAACGAATTAATTTGAAGAAGTTAAGGTATATGTATACTTTAATTAATATTAAAGTAAATAAATGATTGTTTACCAAGAATAGTTCCAATTTCGTTAAAGGGTATATAGCTATATCTAACGATATATTTTTTATGTAATTTAAAAATAGTAATATTATGGTGTTTCCATAATCTAATGGTCGATTCTCGAAAGAGTCATGACTTAGAATGGTTCTGTTATTTAATACACATGAACACTCTAACGTAAACACAATAAATGTTCTGGAACAAAATCTTATGCTACTATTTTAGTAGCTTTTTAACATTTTATAGCAATGATTTTGTTATGCACCATTCGCTTATATGGAATTTTACCAACATATATTTTTCATACCGGCATTTATGGAATATATTCTTTTTAAAAATCCAAATAAAAATTATGTAAACTGGGGCAGCAGAAATGAAGCTTTATACAATTTAATCTATATGTAATTGTACACTGATGTAAGAGAAAAAATATATCCGTAAAGTTTTTATTATAATATTGTGAAAAGCACATAGGGAAATAAATTCATGCGCGCTACGTAAAATTTGTATTCGTTTTAACTTTTCTCATATTCTAATCTTCTTTTGTTATTATCGTAAGTGGTATTATCGTCAGTGATAACAAAAAAGTCAGTATTTTTAACTACACACCTGGTAAATGTTTCCTACAATGATAT